ACATTGCGTTTGCCGCATGCATTTGTCAATGTCGCCGCTTTCAATGAGAGGGTCCTCCGCCCCACCTGCCCCTGCTCCACAACCCCCTCCTCCCTTCCCATCCCCCTTCCCAAAATGCCGCCGCTGCAATATGTAACGAAAAAAACTTTCGCCTGCAATCCGCATGGGTCCATTTCCATTGTAACTAACTCGTGGAGACGCTGCGGGCAACCCGTCATAGGTTGATACTCCGTTTCCTGCTGCATTCAACTGCAACGCGTGACTTGGTTTTGGTTGCCGGAAAAAAGTATCTGAAATACCTATAGGTAACTGCAAATTTGCAGCGTTTTTGTGGTTCAGTTCGCACGTTCAGGGCAGCCAACAATAAATGCCTTTTTAGGCAGCCGTTTAAAGCCAAATGAGTTATGACTGTTGGCACTTTGGCTCGACACATTAGCACCACAAATACGAGCGAGAAAACTTTGACGGATGGCGGTCAACCTTACGGAAAATGAGACCCTTTTCAGGTGATCACGATGGGAAAAGAAAATAGCTCAGGACACATCAAGTGGAGGTGGTTTGAAGTGGTTTTGCCACAATTGACTGGGTTTTATATTTTTAAATAGGCTTTCTTCATATTACAAAAGATAAATGTATTTCAAAGAATGATGAAGCAAATTCACTGATTATTAAAGAAAATAACTAATTTAACTAAAAGTTATAATACTTTTATTTAAAAGAACCCTTATCTCTTTGTGAAATCTTCTGGTCAGCCTGTTTTTCGGGCTCTAAGTTCACTCGACTTTGATCGCCCATCCACGCACTCTTCATCCGCACTTATTTGGGTTGACAAGTTGAGCCCACAGCTCTGGAGATCCACTGCAATTACACACATGTTCCGGGACTCTGGCTGGAAGAGCCTCTCGGGTTGGGAATTTGTAATTGCATGTGCATTACGCACTTGTCGCTCTAAGCTGATCCAGCTTTGCCATGCCTGATTGCCATCACTCCGGGCCAGAATTCGGGGGTCAGGAGAGGGGCTCTGGCAGGGGGGATGCTCCGTAATTAAAATGAAATCAGCATACGGCTTAATTCCGGACTGGGACTCTGCCTCGGAGTGACCAACTGGGGACCTGCCCGACTGCTTGTTGTTTGTCTAATGCGTAACATCGTTTGGATTCCCCACCTCACTGCTCCAAATCTGTCCGTTCCCATAAATCCGTCTGGCATTTTGCATGCCACTCATCATCTGCTAACTTGGTGAAGATTAATTTAATTCTTTCTTTCCCATTTTAGCTTCGTATTTTTAGCATTTCCTTCTGCGTTGGCATTCAGCTTTGGATAGAGCTTATCCCCAGGAAGACCGTTAGCCCTCGCTGGAGAATTCACTACAAAGATTGTTGACCAATTTTCACAAATTTTAGATAAACTTATTAAACTACACTTGAAGCATCTCCTTCTAACCTAACATAGCTGCCAACATGGCGGATTATTAATATTGTACTTTTCCTTTTCTCCCTTGGAAATGTTTGTTTGTAAGTTCATTTGTATAAAGGGTAATAATAGGGATCAAAAAATGTGAAGCTGAAACATGAAACACATTAAAATTAGACTGATTTTTGCAGTTAAATGTTATCAAAAATGTATTATTCCTTTTTCTTAGCCTGCCTTGATGTTTACTTATTTACAATGATAAGGGTGGTGATTCAGGGTGGCACCTGAAAATCCCTTTCTCAACAACCACGGAAACTTCAAAGCCTTCATATCTCGATAAGTTCAATTATGAAAAGCTATCGCGCATCACATCGCGATCAATTATAATCCCTAATGTGCCTATATTCGCCGTACCGCAATAATATCGTTGTTTGGCCGGCGAATGCCTTTTCCAGCTGACAGTTCTTGTAATTGATAACACTAACGGCGGCCTAAACGCGTCATAAAACTGTCGTAAACTGTTGTGCTGATCTAGATTGTCCAATACAGACATCACCCTGAGACGCGAGAGCCAGAGTAATTTACCAAAAACGAATGAACTTGTTGCCTCCGTGCGACGCGATATCTTCCCAGATCCCAGATCCCAGATACGAGCTGCCGGCCTCTCCTGGCTTCTAGCTGATCTGGTGGCCAGTGGCCAGTGGCCAGTGGAGAGTGCTACTGGTAAGGCGATAACCAAAACCGAAAACGATGCCCCCAAGGCACTGGCGGGTCTGGCTGAATCCATTTCAAAAGGCAGGCCGCACTGGTCAAGCGGAGGCGACCTGGGTATCATCGATCATCGATCATCTGGCGGCTCTCGCTAAAAATGGCTTCCAGCTGCGTAGGAAAACACCATCGCATGACCAAATCGCACTCGCGAACTCCTACTTTCTTCTGCACTCTGCTCGAGTTGTGATTGCGGGAATTGCTTCTTTTGCAGGCAAAAGGCATCAGGCAACAGGCAACGAATCTGCTCCTCGGACGAGGATCGTGGCCAATGGCCAGTTTTTCCAGCCTCCTCCAGCGGCAGCTGCCTGTCTTGTTTTGGCACATTTATTATTATTATTATTAAATATCAACGTCGTTTGTCGTTAGCAATTTTTGTTATTTATGAGCTCAAGTTATGCCTTTTGGGTGTTTCGAGAATTTGGGCATGACACACACACTTTGGAGCTGTGCTGGCCCCAGAAGATTGCACTGAATTGTGATTGTGCCTCAGAGATACCACAATGCTTTATCAAGGAACCACTGATAAATATACTGTGTATATGCATCCCTCATTAACCTTTTAAATTTAAGAAGTAATTTTTAAACCTTTTTTATACTTCTAATTACATATTAGATTTACAAAAAAATAAAAAATAAAAATTTATATGACCAACAATAAATGCGTAGATTGACGAAATAAAAGCTCATTGGTCTTAAAAAAAAAAAACAAAAATATTGCGATTTTCTTGTCCCTTATAAGGTAAAATAACATTTTCAATAATATATTAAATAATATTTTTATCTTGAAGTTTGAAAAATTATTTCGCATTTATTTTTTGCATTGCATATCAGCCAAAAATAAAGAAGTATAATTTTTCTAATAATTTGTGGTGATAGAAAACGATTTCTTTTGAGCATTAGATAATTTTTACAATAAATATAAACCATCAAAATATATCAGAATATATTACAAAACAGAAGTCAATTTTTAAAAATAAAAAATTCTAAGCCCCAAATATTTTAATGCCAAATAAAATTGGTCATCACTGGCGCCCCAGTAGAGAAATATACATACTTTTATACCCATTTGTATGACTGAATGTGGATCCATCCATACAGCCAATGCCAATTAATGACCAAATTAGTGAGGCACTCATAGACAAACACTTTGCCTATTATGGCTCGGGATTTTCTACTGATTTGGTTCGAATTGTGATTTATTTCTGCTGACTGTCTTTGATTTCTTTGTTAGTCCCGTCGAAACTGGACTCGAACTGGACTCGTCGGCGATGCGTTGCGATGCGATGCGATGGACTCTGCTCTGGGGAAAGTCGGTGGGAGAACAAAGTGAAATGCATACTCCGCATATAAGTAGGCAATCAAATCGACGCTGAAACATCAAAGTGCCACGGCCTTTCATTTCGATTGCAAGTCGGGCCGAAGGACACCAAAACGAGCTATCAACCTCGAGGCGCATCTGTGGCACGTAGTAAAAGCCAACTGGCCATAAAAAGGTTCCAGCTATTGCTGTGAAATACGATGCGCAGTCCTCAAATACTAATTAGCTCTGGCACTCTAGCGACCCCCTCCAAATCAAACCTGAACTGGCGGCGATGGCCTTTTCCACCTGTCCTACAGAGACAGCAAAATATCTGTTCCAACCTATATCCGCGTGCGCACTGGAGTGGCTAACAAATTGTGAAAACAAATTACTGTCATAAACGTCAGCATTACAAACTGACAACAATCAATACATCAATCTCTGCCCCTTGTCAACTCAAACAAAACACAGGAACAACCACAACATCAATGAATTATGACAGTTTTCAGGCTGTAAAAAGTGGAATATATCGGAAAAAATGTCGCTCCTGCCTTCACCATCGTCGCAATTATAAGATAGTGTCTATGTCTCGATCGCTCCTCGACCAACTCGACATCTCACAGCAATGCGAGAATGACAAAAACTCAAGCATTTAATGATATTAAAGCCCAGGGAGCAATTCCCCCGGACCAACACAAAACAATACAAGCAAAAACCGTACAACTAAATGATTACAAAAATCTAAATTGAATTTCGCCATAAATCGAATCAATGGCCGACTCCCTGGACTCATCCACTGCAGCTAATCCAAACATGAAATATGCCGGAATAACCCAGTCCCGACGCTCAGGAGCTCCACAGTATAAATTCTAAGGTAAACGCATAATCTATGGAAAGTAAGAAAAAAATGGGAATTAACTCAGTTGGTTATGAGCGACTTTCCGAATGAGCTACAATGCTTGCAGGCATTACGATGAATTTGAAAAATAGTTGCTTCTATAACCCATAAATATTTACTTAGGGTTATGGTCTTAAACCCACAAAAAATAGAAACAATTTTAAATCCCTTTAAGTTTATAAAGAGACACTTTAAAATAGGTTGAGCTTAAAACAAAATAAATATTGTTTTTAATCTGTTTTCCAAATTTGTTGTCATAAGTTTGTTGTCAAAAATTAGTATTACTTTTTAATAAAATTCAAAATATATGTATTTAGTTTGATAGTCTAAGTCAAAAGATTAAAAATGGCATTAAATGAGTACACCTTAAAGGTGACTATTTACTTACAATGCAATCGGTGTTTTACCAAAAAAGATTAAATTAATTATTTTTAGGTTTTTTTGTTATCTAATCATCTAATATGCCCTTTCGATACATTTACCATTTTATAGGGAAAGGAAACAAAGTAGCATTGGGTGCTGCCTGTAACGGTGCTGCTCTCAGATTAACTAAGAGATTCAGAAATCAGGGGGAAGGAATCAGGGAGAAAGTTGTAAGGGAGCAAGCCTAGACTGGAGAGGAGCTCGGCAATCAATAACTTAAATTACAAAGTAATTGCACAGGCATTCACAGCACGCTGCGCTTTCTGCGCCTGCCACCAGCATCAGTGGCAGTGGGATCCCGAAGGGGCAGGATGCAGGGGCAGAGTCATCGCCATCGTCGTCGTCATCAGTATCAGATTCAGCATCGGCATCAGCATCAGCATCAGACTCGGATTCAGCATCATCCGCAGCACCTGAGGTTCTCGGCTCTCGTTCGCCGCTGGCTGTCGTCACAAATGTTACACTTGATGGTAATGATGATGGACAGATTGGTACCAAAGTCACTCAAAAAGCGTTGCCGTTGCCAGCTCCGATTCTGATACCCAGACAGCGGCTAAAGCCAAGCCTCAGCCGCGGGCTCTGGACCCGAAGTTGCAGGCCATCGCCAAGACTGAGACTCTGGCTGAGACTGAAGCTGAAGCTGAGACTGGGGCCAAGCCAATCCGGTAGCCGGTCTGTCAGTAAGTTGAAAATTGTTTTAAAATTGCTGTTACATGTCTGAATGCAAGCAGATTGAATTACAAGCTGGCCGAGCAAATGCTTTCTGATCAACATCACAGTCACTGACTGTGGATGTGGATGTGGATAGCAACTGCTACCGACTGACGACTTGGGACTCCAGATTGCCGACTGCGACCCAGTCGCTGCCAGAGTCTAAAATTAAATATTGCAGCACCCGATGGTAAAATCAGTCAACGCACACATATATGGTATAATCTATATTTAAGTGTTGACACATTCGACTCCTGGTCAGCCGAAATCGATGCGAGAACTGTAAACAACATTATTGTTTTTATTTAGGCTCTTTGCAGAAAGTAGGGTCACTGGAACAAACGGATTTGGGGAATTAAATTTTATAATATACAACGAAATAGGGAATACTAGAAGACTTATAAGGCAATGTCTAAAGGGATTAAAATAAGTATGGCTTTATATAATTTAGCCATGGTTTTTTCATGTTTTGATTAGATTGCATTGAAATGTTATGTACGAGAATCACCTGAAATAATTATTTCCCTGATAGAAGTGTAGCATTAGCATAAGTCTTTTCCCTTAGAATTGGCCATCGCAACAGCACTTCTTCCTTGCTGAGACCAAAAGATCCAAAGAAGCCGTCGCAGCATTTCCCTAATGACGGCAGTTTTAGTTTATGTGATTAGACTTGCAAAATGATGCGACACCCGAAGAAGAGGGAAGCCGCATATTGGAGTTGCAGCCACGGAGGAGTCCGAGTGCCCAGAAAGCGGAGGAGGGTAGCTGGAGGTGGGTATCCAGGAGGCGGGGCGGACCGGAGGAGCGCGTGACACTCGCCGCCTGGACCGCTTATCTTTTATTTAACATGCTCGCTCTGTATAAATATGGAGGAGCCGCAGTTCGCGGCATCCACAAGTCTGGCCCACTCCGCGAATAGCTTCATTTGTGGCATCCCGGCTGCTGGCACTCGCTGCCATTCCTGCACTTCATTAATTATGCGAACTGCTCTCGAAGCAGATCGGGCCGCAATTGATGGCCATGGCATGGGAACGGGTCCGCAGAACGGAGACTGCTGCCTGCAGCCATCGTTTGCGGCATGATAAAGTTGTAATTTGTTGGCAGTTAAAGGTGTTGCTTATAGTGCAACTAATCGACGTCATAAACTAAACTATTCGTGGCTAAACGAGATCGGTTAATGTGTTTCCGCCAAATGATGATGACAATGCGGAGTGGACGAATGCCTGCCTCCAATACGAGTTCAATTACGCGATCTGGGATGGTTGCCTGGTAATAAAATGTGGGATGGCCTTAAGTTATACAAGGCTTAATTGAAAACTCCTTTTAGGGGAAGAAGACCCCAGTTGATTACTTTTAGGCAATTGTACTTTTCTTTTTACCTAAACTTTTTAACAAAAGTTTTATACGAGCAACCTTACTTAACTTTAGCAATTTCAAACAGGTATTAAACCAATTTATGTGTAGAAAGTTTAGTGTGGGCTTGGGCATTCTTTTCCTTTTTGTTATTTTTGGGATTTTTAAAAAGTTGTTGCCTACACAAATAAATATTGATTAATATAATTATAGCTTTATGTACGAAAATATTATACATGTATTTATATTTAAAAATTACAATTTTTTCGAATAAATGGTATACAAACATAAGGTTAAGTTATTTGTTTTTACACTTTTTATACATACATTTAATTCTGTTCTTTTCTTTACTATAACCCCAAGAATTCTTTCTTCTAAATCTGACCATTTATATCTTTTCCAGTTTTCATCAATCTTGTTGGCCAGTAATTAAGCTTCTTTTCAGCAGCGACAAAAACTTTCTCTGCCGTTTTCCAGGCTGAGAATTCGGCACACAAAAAGCCAACAGTTGAAGATTCGCTAAGCCTAATTCTGGTTATCGCCTGGTCAAGGGGTCGGGGTCGTTGGCGTCTATACACAATATTTCTTAAATTAAATTATCAAAAAGAATTTCACTAGTTGGCATGCCGAGCCCAGGCTCAGGCTCCCGCTATGCCACGCCCCCCAGCCGCCCCCTTCTCTGGGGCAACCTGCTTTTGGGGGCAGAGGAAAAGCGGAGAAGTGAAGGCCTTGCAGAAAGAAAAACCAAAACGAGAAAAAGAAATTCCGAAAATTTTCCCACACTTCTTGAAGGAGGCGCACGCACACACACAAGCTCTGGCAAAAAGCGAGAGAGAGGGAGAGAGAGAGAGAGAGAGAAAGAGGGAGAGAGGCGCATGCGCAGCCACTCATATTTGTTTATGGCTGTGGAAGAAGTCCGGCAGAAGAAGAAGCAGGGCACTTGCAGCACGGAGCACATGTTGCATTTGCCTCCGCTGCCGTTTTGTTGTTGATGAGCTGCATTATATGGCTGGCATGCATACGAGCCGGCAACTGGAATGGCTCTTCTACATCCCAGTGGGAGGGAGGGGGAGGGGGAGGCGGTGGTGGAGCCGGGGGCAGAAGTCGAGCCCCGACTCGCAGCAGAGATGACGACGTTGCCATCGACATGGACAGAGCCGGAGACGCGGGCACAGACAGAGACACTGGCTTAGACATCGAGGCCGCGCCAAATGCCGGCACTCAGGAAAAAGTTTACTAGAAAATGGAAACCTTAGTATATTCTAATTTTGTATACAACCTGAAAAAACATTCAGAAATTTAAAAACTAAACAAATTGTAGAGCCAATAAGTTCTTAATAAGTTGCAAAGCAGTAATATATAATATTTGTTGAATAAGGTATTTTAAAACAAACGCATCAAATTAGTGATGAATTCTTGGTTTAAGCATTCTTCTCTTAAAATAATTATAAAATTGATTTACTAGAACTTGGATTATTTTCAGTGTGGAGGCCGTTCGGACCAATGCGGTCTTAAGCGGGGCCAAATGGGCAGTGCATGGGGCATCGGGCATCGGACATCGGGTATCCACTTGTTGCCTGGTTGCCGCTATTTACCTTTTGGTTCTGCTTGTTGTCTTTTGTCTCGTCGGGTTTTCACTTTAGCGGTTCTTCCCTGGCTTTTCCTCTTATATTTGAGTTGTTATTTTGTCTTTGTGCATTGACACCAAATTCTATTTTGCAAGCGAACACCCTTAGCTTTTGATAGTTTTTGCTGTTTCTCATGGCTAAGAACAAGAAATTCATGGGAACGGGAGTAAATGCATATAAGTGACTAAAAACTATGACATAAGTTATATATTTATTGAATTAAACCAAGAAGATTTGTCATGTCTAATGAATTGAATAAAATGTCGAACACACAATGCTGATTTTTTAGTTATGAGTTAGTTGAGTAATAAGAAAATTGAAGTGAAAAAACAAATGATTTAATGGCAGCACTATCTTTCAATATGTAAAACAAGCCACATGTAGTAAAAAGCAATGGAGTAAGCAGTAAAACAAAAAATAGGACAATAGTCTTTTCAGCACAGTTAGGGGCTTTGATCCCTGTTGTACTTTTCACTCACCTTTTCTCGCCATCCAATAGGTTGAAAGTTGTCCGAGCGGAAAAGTGATGGTTTATCCGAAGAAAGTCACTAATTCTATCGATCAGCTCCGATTATCGCCGCGCCTTATTTGGCCGACGAAATCCTAAGGCGATGGATGTCTGCGTGACGGGAATACGCTATTGCGAAATGGCTCGAAACTGTTTAACTCTTGCTTTCTATGCGGTTCCTCGGGAGCCCCCTTGGCCCCCAATAACCAATAACCGATCCAGCTGGCGACAAACTGCTGGCCGAGTGTTGTTGCTGGCTTTTGGTTTACCGCACGACAAATTGCTTTGCTTTTGGCATCTCTGAAACAGCCCCAGCCTCAGGACTCTCCATATATGGCCAGAAGCCGTAGACACTTTGCGTGTCGGTGTGTTGGTGCTGTATCCGTGTGCATGTCTGCACTAAACAAATTGTTAAATTTATTGCCCCTCGTAAAGAATGGTCCCAGTTACAGTCAGAGAAGCAGAGCAGCAGAGCAGCAGGAAAGCCGACCAACAAAGCAGCGAAATTTCAGCTGTAATGCACTCAACTCGGAATTACTGGAGTACAGGGAAACCCATTACCAGAGCCCATTACCAATCACTATTTACTGTCTGCCATCGGTAACTAAATGGAAAGTTCTGCCAGCGGCCCTCTGACCAACTTAAACCCACCAACCAGGCCATATTCGCATTGGCTTGATCTGGCTATGACAGCCTCGGCATTTCGGCATTTAATTAATTAGCGAACGTGAACTACCCAAGTTAGCAAATGATCGGTCTCTCATTGGCGCCGTTGTCAATCACTCAATCAATCGATCAATCAGCGCAGATCAGCGGCATTCCTGCGAGTTGCTTTCGAAGCATGTGGAGTGAAAAATTACTGCAAGATGGAAAAACAGAAGAGGAGAAAAGCGTTTCGAATATGCAGCATAGAATTTCTGATGGCCATAATGTGGTTGGATTTTTGATTGAAAACTTTAAACTATCCAGGATACAACGGCTGACAAGTATAATTAATATGGGGACTCCTCGTTTTTAAAAATGTACTCACATATGTCAGGTTTACACAAAACCTTAAAAAATCCATCTTAGCATTCATAATATTGGATCTCTCCATTAAAAATATGTTATATTAAGTATTTAGTTAATTTTTTTAAATAATAACATTCTGCTTTAATCTGGAATTTCAAAATAACTTGCATTGTCGATTATCTGCTGTCAAGAACATCTAGTCAAAACAATTTTTATAATATAGTTACACTTCCAAACATAAGCAGCATAACCAACAGAACTTAAATCAAAAATTTTATAAAATTAATAATATATTAGGATAGGCCAGGCAGACTTTAATAGTTATGTGAATACTAAAGCCTTCATAAGGACTGGAAGAAAAACCGGCAGTTCCTAAAATCATAAACAAAGTAAACCCTAATAAGAGTTTCCTCTTCTTTAGTTTACCGCCCACAAATAGAAACATTTATGCCGCGGTGGAAATGACAGAAGCCCTCTTCCAAAGATAGCCGAAGAAAATGTAACAAATTTCGCCGTGCTCCTCATAAAATACCATTTTATCCAGATCTCGGAGCCCAAACAATTGCCAAGGATCGGGAGGACGGGGGATGCCAAGCAAATTAGGAGGCTAATGAAGAATTTACATTGTTTGCCAAAACGAATTATTATTAAGCATGCGCAGCCGGAGGATTGGGATTCGGATTGGGATGTGCATGTGGATCTCTGCGGTCAACGAGCGGCAGCGGCCAATTATATCGCCGAGCTTTGATCTTGCGACTGGTTCTAGGAGCGATCCGTGGG